TAACGGAATCTACCCCATAAACCACAAGTGGGTTATTTGTTGATAATATAAGCACAAGAGGGTCATATGCAAAAGCTTGTATCCCCAAAGGGTTAAGTGCTATTTACCAAAAATAAAAAAACATTCCTCCATTGTGCAGTTTTCTAAAAAATGAATAGAGAATATGAAAAAAAAAAAAAAAAACCATATTGATTGACTTTACGTTTATAATTACCCTTCTTTCTTTTGATTCTTTTTTCTCCTGTAATGGTGAAGATGGAACAACATCTGATTGATTCACTTTGGCAGAAGAATTAAGTGTAACCACTAGAGGGGTATCTCGAAGATTTTCATGGTGACTGTCCACTCCAAGCAAATGACTAGTCTCACCCGAAAGAACAATATTGTTCTGTGATTTGAAAGAAAAAAATTGATCTCGTGGTTGGAAAATCCACCCAACAAGTGGATTAGGAACTGTAGAAACTTGTATGAGAACATTGAATACTGTAAAAATTCCAAAAATAAAAAATAGCTTTTTCCAGTCGATTTTGAACATCGAAACGACTAATATCCGCCGTAATAGTTTAATCATATTTATCTACTGACTAATTTGGTCAGAAGTATGGTCCTGAATAAACTATGTTAAAAATATATGATCAATGAATGTAAACTTCCTACACTTTATTTGATTGATTGATGAACCCGTTGTGCACTTCTTCATGCCATGCTTCAGCATGTTGAGGAGAAACTCCAATCCTGTCATTAAGATTCGGGTCAAGCTCATTCATTTGTATCTAGATGTAACATTGTGAACATAAGGCTTTGTAACATACTAGCATGCTATTCTACAAGCAATATCAAACTCTATAATTTTTCAGACATGTAATGTGTACTGCTTCGTAATACAATATTCTGAACATAAGACCTTGTAATGTACAACAGCGAGGCTATTAGAGAAGAACCTTAAAAGATAATTTTTTATTTTTAATCTGCACGTATGGCTTTGTAATATAACAACATTAGTTTTTGTAACGTGAAACTACTAGCTATTGTGGAAGAACCTCAAACTCTCCTAATCTTTTTATGATATGTTGCCATAAGTTTTTGTAAAACAAATAAAGATTCATCGCTAGTATATTTCATTGCTACTGCTTAGACCATTTTTTTATGATGTGACTGTAGGAGGAAAAATAAGCTCATACATTTTTATTTTCTTAAGTTCTACAAATGAAATAGAAAAATGGATTACTAATTACATAAATTTATGTGTTATCACCAAGCTATACAAACAATCAACACCAACGAGTTTAAACAATTTCAGAAAATTAAGAAATTATTGTGCACTTAGTTGACCTGTAAATGTTATTTGTAGTGTTACATTTTAGAAGATCTTAGTTATTTCATCTCCTCAAGTTTTAGATAAAAAAACGAACATTACCTTTGTTTTATGTTATTTTTTCATGTTTCTACTTATATTCGTATTAAGTTGAAAATATAGTAGAGTTCCTTATAGATCATCTTGTGTACTCTACAACAATTGTCCTCTAAAAAGTAATGTATCTTATAACTTATTATGAATTAGAATTAGAATTAGAATGACTAAATTAGAATGACCACCTCAACCAAAGCTTAAAGCTATTGGTGAAATGTATCATTTATTTAATATCTCCAATACGTCCCCTCAAGTGAAGCCGAATTACATTTGAAGCCTTGCACTTGAAATATTTGAAATGGGTGGTGGTGGGATTCAAACTCAGGACCTATTATTCAAACTCTGATGCCATGTTGAATGACCACCTCAACCAAAAGCTTACGCTATTGGTCAAATATATCATTTAATATTAGTATCTCCTATAGTATGTAGTGATATTTTCTTAAGGTAGTTGTGCGGAACACACCATGGAAGTAGAGATCAATTTTTCATCAATTCTTCTACTGTTATTTTAATAGACCTACGTACCAAATTTGGTCTATACATATGAACACATATTTGAAAGTTCTAGATCTGTGGGAGGATGTAGAAGA